AAGTCCTGGACCTGGTGGCTTGCTTTCTCACTTTCTCTCTCTCTCTCACTCTGTCCCGCTATGATCAAATTAAAATAAGTAGATAAATAAGTAAAGTGGAAGAATTCTTTTAAAAAATGATGATTGGGACCATTTATCCAGCAATTCAGATTAGTTTTTTTTAAAAATAGATGGCTGGATCCCACATGGCCAGCTGCATGGTTGAGTCTAGCCCTGACAGCTTGAGAAACACACCAGGCATGTGTCTGTGTGTGCCCAAAATCCCAAAAGGAGGGAGAAATGGAGAAGGGACTGTGGCATGCCCACCCCTCATGGGCGTGCTTTCTCACTCTCTCTCATTGTGTGGTGAGCACATGGACCCTCTGGCAACATTTTTTTAAAAGGGGATGGAGGGGCAGTTTACCAAGGTGTTACCAACTAAAATTCAGAACACAGTGTGGTATTTTGATAACTAACTCCACTTGTTTTGGTAGGTGGGGAAAAGTGGAAATGTCCCAGCAGGCACTACGGTGGACAGCACCATCACGCATCCCTCTGAGTTCGACTTTTACCTCTGTAGTCACGCAGGAATTCAGGTAATTTAGAAGCTAGTCCAGATCTTTGACTCGATAGGGAAACACTTGCAAATTCAGCAACTAGCTTGAATAGACTCATGATTCAACACCGCGCTTCACTTGGTTAATGCTCGGGTCCTAGAACGGTTGTCTTTTTGCCTAGGTATCGACTGGCAGGTGTGCTAGGCAGAAATACTTTTGAGTTTAGGGAGCAGGTTTCAATTCTCTCCTCTCAGATAGTCAACCCTTTTCAGGCATCCGTTAAAGATAAAATTCTCTCTCCAGGGAACCAGCCGTCCTTCGCATTACCAGGTCTTATGGGATGACAACTGCTTCACTGCAGACGAGCTCCAGCTGCTGACGTACCAGCTGTGCCACACCTACGTCAGGTGCACTCGCTCCGTCTCCATCCCAGCCCCTGCGTACTACGCCCGCCTGGTAGCCTTCAGGGCAAGGTACCATCTGGTGGATAAGGACCATGACAGGCAAGTTCCTTAGGCAGGATAAAGACCTCTTTCTATCTTAATGCATGTTTAAAAGATGAGCTACACAGAAAAAAATTGTATTAAACCTTATTCATTCATTTATTTAGAGAGAGAGAGAGAGAGAAAAGGAAAGCGAGAAAGCAAGCCACCAGGTCTGGTTCATGAACTGCATTCGGCCATGTAGGAGTCCGGTGCCCTCAACCACCATGCCACCTGCTGTCCCCTCAGAAAACTTTTTAAAAAAGGGAACTGCAGATGGCATAATGGTTTTGTTGCTGAACTCCCGCATGGCCGACAGCAATTTGAGTCCCAGATCTGGTGGCTTGAAACACACCAGGCATGTGTATGTGCATGGTCAAAATTCCAAGAGGACAATGGAGGAGAAGAGATCGTGTTGTGGCCATCATCCCACTCCTCCGCCGATGGGGGGTGATTTCTTGCTTTTTCCGTCTCTGTCTCTCTGGCAAGTGCACGCACCCTATGGCAAAAATATCTTTAACAAAAGAAAAGAAAAAGAAAAAGAAAACTTTATAAAAGATTTAAACTTCATGGGGCTGGCAGGTGGTGTGGTGGTTAAGGCGCTGAACTCTTACAGGGCCACCCACACAGGGTTCAAGTCCCAGACTCAGCAGCTTGAAAATCATACTGGCGTGTTTGTGTATATGCCCAAAATCCAAGAGGAGAATGGAGGAGAAGGGATTGTGGCATGGCCATTCCCTCAGGAGGTGATTTCTCACTTTCTGTCTCTCTGTCTCTGTCCACTGAGTGCATGTCCCCTATGGGGTGGGGGGGAGAACTAAACTAAAAAAAAGGGGGAAACTAAAAAAAAAAAAAAAAAAAAAAAAAGAAAGAATTAAACTCCTGTAAGGGTTTAAATTGCAAGGAGGAAATAACATCGCAGGTGCCTGTGGGAGTTTATAATGTGACTTTGGTCCACAATGCTCAGGTCTGTTTGTACACACGTCTCTAAAAGAGTCTAACTTCGACCTGCCACTTCCTGTGAGGAGAATTCCCGAACAGTTCACTTTGCTTTCAGTACAATCTGGGAAAATGCATCAGAGTGAACCTGGGTGTGTGTGTGTGTTGTGTATGTGTGCGAGAGTGTGAGTGGGCCAGACCATTCTCACCCCCAATAGGCATCTTTAGAGAATCCGACACTTCGACCTGTTACTCAGCTACGATTAAATAGCCAAACAAGTTCTCTGCGTTGATTTCTTTTTCCAAATGACCATCTGTGAAGTGCAGCAGTTTCTGGGCTCTTCCCCAAGTTTGAATTCAGCTGCTAAGCAGTAGACATTCCACTGCAGGTCTGTTTCTGTGAGGGCTGAGATGGCTGTTCCAGAAGCCGCCAGCTGTGACTTCCACCTTGCTTTCTGGGTACACGTGTGTACAGTCAGCACCTCTGTTAGCCAGTGACTGCGCCCAGTGGTGTGTTAGGGGCTGGAAAGGCTCAGGTCATTGAGAAATGTTTCCTGCCCGTGGGGACTTCTTGTTTTGGTGTGAGCGACAGTACAGGCAAATAGAGAAGTGACAGCTAGCCCAAATCAGGGGAGAAAAAAGTGCCGCGGGCCATCAGCAGGTGGGGTGTTACGGAGGCAGCTACAGTGGATGGGCAGAGTTTGACTCTGTAAAGAAGAGAAAAGAATTTTCCAGGCACAACGGAGAGAGCAAGTGCCTCGTTTGGGCAGCAGTTAGGTTTTCTTCGCTAGAGCTTTTAAAGAGGAGCAGCAGGCGTGAGACTGCAGAGCGTGTTAGAGCAACCTCGTCTTTATCACATGTAAGCGGGGATTCCAGGGACAGAATAGCAGACTCGATAGTTAACTGGGTGTGAGCGGCAGACGAGACGTAAAGTAAAACATGTGACTCAGAGTCTGGTTGACAAAGATAATCATAATCATTTAAAGAGAGAGGTCATGGGGGTCAGCAGGTGGTGTGGTTAAGGTGCTGGATTCCTACATGGCCAACCATGGTTCGAGTCCCAGATCCTACGACTTAAAATCAAGCCAGCTGCATGTGTGCCAAAAATCCCGAGGGAGACAGGAGAAGAAGGGATTGTGGCGCAGCCTTACCCCCGGAAGGAGATTACTCACGGTCCCTTTCACACATGCCATAAGGCAAACATCTGAAAGAAAAAGAAAAAAGAGAAGGCAGATGCAGGATAGTGAGTTACAGTTTGCCAAGTCCTTTCTATCACACGGTGTCCTTTAGAAGTATATTTAGGGGCCAGCAGGTCAGGTGTGGTGGTGAAGGTGCTGGACTCCCACATGGTCAACTGTGGTTCAAGTCCCAGACCTGGTGGCTTGCTTTCTCACTTTCCCTTTTTCTCTCTTTCTGTCTCTCTCTCGTCAAATTAAAAGAATAATAATAAATAAAATTAAATAATTATTTTTTTAAATATCAAAAGAAGTATGTTTGAAAGTTGTGGTTGTTATTCCAAAAGACTAAAGTTTGAGGTACTTGTACCTGTCTGATTTATACAGCTAGTGAGGGGAAAGCAAAGGAACTGACATGTTGACATGTGCTGAGTGTCTACCATGTTCCAGCACCGCGCTAGCCACATGGAGCTATTCATTCACAAAAGGCTATTGAAGCCAGCATGCGTGCCAGGCACGGCGATACGACGGTAAAGGAGATGGACAAAGTTACTCCTTTTGTGGCCTTTATATTCCAGTAAAGCAGTCAATAATTACCCTACTAATAGCTTAATTGCAATTGCGTTTAGTAGCATGAAAGGAAAATATGGGACTCTGTGAGAACATGTTCCAGCTCTGACCTGGACTTTGAGGTCAAGGATTTCAATGGGGAAAATGATATTTGTCCAAAGAACAAGCAGGAATGAAGTGCAAGCCCTTCTGTAGATAGTGTTGAAGATTTGGGTCATCGCAGACATTATTTTACCGAATTCTTTTTTTTTTTTGGAGACTTTTTGCTATAGGGCGCGTGCGCTCGTCGGAAAGACAGAGAGAGACAGAGAGACAGAACGCAAGAAATCACCCCCCAGGCGGAATGGGCATGCCGCAATCCCTTCTCCTCTCGGGATCTTGGGCACGCACACACACGCGCCCAGTGAGAGTTTAAGCCCCCGAGTCCGGGACTTGAACTGCGGTCAACTACGTGGGAGTCCAACAACATAGCCATTATGCTAACTGCTGGTCCCTTTACTGATTCCTTAGAACAGCCCATTAAGTAAGTAGGATTGCATCTTTCAGTTGAGTAAGCTGTTGTCGAAAGAGACATAACAAATTATTTAAGGAACCAAGACTCGATCTGAAGGTCTTCTTGACTCCCATGTTATTTGTGCTATTTGAAGCGTGAAGTTCAAAGTGGTCTTCTGTCACACCTGGTGTCTTCTCTGTTTTCTCTCCAGTGCCGAAGGCAGTCACGTGTCGGGACAGAGCAACGGCCGGGATCCTCAGGCCTTGGCTAAAGCTGTGCAGATCCACCATGATACCCAGCACACAATGTATTTTGCCTGAGAATCTCAGAAAAAGAACTCAACCAGTTTGGCATCCCACGCAGCCTCAAAATGTCCCCAATGCCTGCCACCTCTAGAGAGGGCCAAGTTGGCTTCAGGTGGTCTACCAGCAGCTCGGGATAGTTGCACTGATCTGTATTTTGCAGCACTGTCTGATGCGTCAACAAAATTGAGCCATTTTTTTAAAGCAGTAGATGCTCATAGATGACCTTTTCTGATGCACTGGACCGAATTTTTACCTCAATGTGCAAAGGCCGATCGGCCTGAACTTTCTAAAGGACTTTATGAGAAAGGTTTCTATGGAATATTTTGCTAGCTGTGGTGTTCACCGCATCCCTCTAGTCTTAGAAGAGAAGATTAGTCCTTTTTTTTCCGCATCCATTGAGTGGGGTGTATGCATAGGTGGGAGAGCAAAACCAAACAATCTTCTTCAGTTCAGTGTAACTATTTGTGTGGGTCCATAGACTTTTCGATGGAGATGTCTGACTTTGCCACTGTAAATGCCTTTAACGAGCATTACTTTTTGAACGTTTTACAGAGTTTTATTCGTTTTACTACTTTTTCTTATTGATCTCTGCAGACTCGCGCTGGTGCACGTGTAGACTGCTAGGCGATTGCACTAAATCTGGCTGCAGATTCCAATAGGCAGTTCTCTGATTTGGTTGACCTTTGTGAATGTGTCACGTCAACAGTTGCAATGCATGTCACAGTGACAGATAACACTGCCATGGTACAAGTACTCATTTTCTCCCTATTTGAGAACAAAAAATTAGCTTTTAGTATTTTTCCAAGTTTTCAAAAGTGCCCATTTTATGCTGCTCTGTGGTTTGTTAGATCTAAATGATTTTTAAACTTTTCTCATAGAAAGTTAACTTTGGCAATAAACATTTTTTAAGGTCCTTCCTGTTCCTTCCCCCGACAAGGTAGTTTTCTAGATGAGATTTCAGTATGATTTTATCAGCTATTTCTTATAGATCATAACTTGGCAATTTCTGAAACCAGGCAGAAAAGACATATATTTCCATGCCTTTTTAAAGAATTATTTTTACCTATTTTATAGTCACAGTTGTTGTCGTGTCACTTTGTTTTAAAATAAGCTAGAACCAGGATGCTTCCTTACTGGCTAGGCCTTGCCAGTCCGTAAGGTACATTGAGTGATGCTGCAACTTGCAAAACTGTACCAGCATTTAAAATATTTTCCCTGGGAATCAAGGTTACTCTCACAATTTCTTGCAGTGCAAATTTCTTGCTTAATCTTTCGACCTGAAATATACTTGGTGGGTTTTCCTTTTATTAAGCTAAAACTGTATAGAAGAAGTTCCTTTTTCTTCACTAGCTTCTGGATTCCACTCCCTAGGGAGACAGAATTCCTTATCCAAATGAACGGAGTTGATCTAAAGCAAACATCAGATAAAGTGCAGCGGAAACTGTATTCTGTATTTAGTGTAGATAATACTTCGGGAGTGGACAGCAGTTACATGGAGTCTTGGTAGTTTCCAGCCAGTGTTTCCCAGACCACATTTTACTCACCTGCAGTTCTCTATCCTGGAGTGAGAGATGGAAAGGGTATGAATAGCCCAGAGCCATACTCCATATGGCTGAGGAAGGGACTTGGGGAAGAGGCAGACTCACCATTTTGGGATTTTCTTTTTTTTTTTCTTTTTTTGCCTCCTCTGTCCGGAAACTGCTGGTGGGGGAAACACTGGATCTGGTGGTAAAGGGTGTTTGCTTGAACTCGTTAGCTGGTCCAAATCTCTTAAGCTAGCCTTCTCAAAATCCCAGCAATATAAAGCACTGTTTTTCTCCAGTCATTTAAACAAGCTTGTACATACATTGAAGTTTACATTTCTGTGTGCTGTCGATCAGCGGCGCCGCCAGTATTTGCTGAGACTGGTCTCCAAGAGCGTTGTTATCATATCTGTCGAGTCCCGCAGCTCACTGCAGTGGATGCAGACGCCCGAATCTCTGCAGATCGTGAGGCGAGAGCAAGTTCTGTGACCGAAGCACAACGTAGGCAGGAGTGGCGACATGGCAGATGTTCATTTCTTAAGACTTTCCTCTTTTGCAAATACCTCACGTGGATAATACAAATCAGGACATGTTGGTGAGGGCCTGGCTGCTGCTTTTATTCACACTTGTTCAGGGAGAGCACAGAAAAGACCCTTCAGCGTGGCCATTCCAGACCCAAGAGGAGGAAACATGGAAGCGTTTAGGAAGGACTCACTGAAGTCTAAGATGTGAAGAATCTTGGTGGCTGGCTGGCTGGCCAGCGGGCCCCACACCTGCACTTGAGTGCCTCGGGCTTCCTTGGTAATAACGCACAGAAGAGTGTCACATCTCACCTGCTCCTGGCGCGCACGGAGTGGGGAGCAAAGCGCAGTGCCCAGAAGCCCTGGCTCACCTGCCTGCAGTCGGGTTCTACGCTCGACCTGGAACTGTAGTTTGTAAGCCCTCAGTCAGTCCCGGCACGCTGGGATGAATCAGTGTGGTGGTGGAGGAAAAGCCGGGAGGCCTATTTTTATAGGAAAACAGTGCCACTAAGGGTGCAATGCTGTCATTTGGGACGAAAAGAAAGCAACGTGGAAAAACTAGGATTATTGGGAAGAACTTGCTGAGGGGTGAATCTTTAAGAGTATTCACCGCGGAGTCAGAGTTGCAGCGATACTGCAGCACTGTTGCAAGTCTGATGCGTGGCTTTCATTTCAATTGGCTTGACAATTTGAACAGGTTACCCCTTCGGGACCGACTGAATCGTTATGCATGTGTCAATCAATGGGAGGTGTGCATTCTCTAGAAGTAGTTTTGAGCTGTTTGGTTTTTTTAAAATGCAGCCTGTTTAGGCACTGTCACGTGGTGTGAAAGATTTAAATGTAGCAATGCTAAGGAGTAACAATTTGGGGCTAAGGAATGGGGACATTAAGAAAGTGGTGAAGACCCAAATGTTGAACTAATTATGTTTCGTTGTTATTTTTAGCTGTTGAATCCTGAGCGGTTTATAAAGTGAAGGAGCTGGCTCTGTGCAGCCAGTGTTCTGGGCAGGCAGAACGTCTTCATTCTTACTGTAAATTCTACTTGCTGCTTCCAAAGGTGATTTACAAGCAGACATGTTGTAGATGGTCTGTATTTTAGAATCTGGTGCCCAGCCTCTATCAGAGTGTACCTACCTGGCTCAGCTACCTACCCGTCCCATGGGAAAACAGAATCCGTTGTCTAACAAGGCTCGCACTCTCCACCCTGCCCTCGTGACCTTTTGTGGACGTGCTGTAAGATTTTCTTACTCAATAGCAAGGTGGTAGCTCCACTTTCATTGTGAGAAAGTGGGGGCTGAGGGCATTGTGTCAATACTGCTTCAACACCAAGAATCTTTCCTTGTAAAATTAAAGGAAAGATCTTGTTAGCAATTGACCATTTTCTTATGCCGTGCTGTCGACATATTCATGCTTCTTCTGTCTAGTGGCTGAAAATGTTTGCATTTGTTCATTTGACTAATGGTGTGGGTTTTGTTTCTATCTTGTTAGACTTGTAATGTTTTCAAATGTATTTTATGAAATTTGGACTGGATGTATGTCTCTAGCAATACGAGGTACTTTCTAAACTACAAAGGGAGGGGGTTGTATTCCCATGTTGAGATAAGATGTTGGTCATTTAAAATTTGCAATTTTTTTTTTTTTGGCCTGCAGGGATATTTTGTGGTCATGTGTTCCCCCCCCAAAAAAAAAGGAAAGAAAGAAAGGAAGAAAGAAAGAAAGAAAGAAAGAAATAAACAGGCATTCTTGTGCCAAAAGTTGTTTTTCTTGTCATTTGTCTAATAAAATGGAGTGCGCTGTAAAGGCAACATGCAGGGACCAGCAGTTGGCGTAATGGCTATGTCATTGGACTCCCATGTTGTTGACTGTGGTTCGAGTCCCGGACCCAGTGGCTTAAACTCACACCAGGCGCACATGTGTTCGTGCCCAAGATCCCGAGAGGAGAATGGAGGAGAAGGAATCGCAGTATGGCCATCCCCCCTGGGGGCTGATTTCTCGCTTTCTGTCTTTCTGTCTCTCTGTCTCTCTGTCTTTCTGGCAAGCGCACACGACCTATAGCAAAAACCTCTCCAAAAAAAGAAAAGAAAAAAAAAAAGGGTAACATGTATACTTGCTTTATAAAAACAATTTTCTAGTGGCTGGCCGGTGGCTTGGTGGTTAAAGGTGCTGGACTCCCACATGACCAACTGTGGTTTGAGTCCTGGACCTTGTGGCTTGCTTGCTCTCTTTCTCTCTCTCTCTCTCTCTTACTCTGTCCCTCTCTGGTCAAATTGAAATACATAAATGAATGAATAAATAAAGTTAAATAAAATAATTTTTTAAAAAACTCCTAATTTCCTCAATTTGAGAAATTTTTATACAAGAACGGTGAAAATACTTTGTATTTTTAACTCTCAGGTCTCCCTATTTTTAGCAATTGCTCTTTGTGAATTTAAGAAGAACTTCTAAGCAACATTTCCTAAATGACAACTTTAACAAGATTTATCAATTTTTTTTGAAAGGGTTTTTTTTTTTTCACTATAGGGCACGTGCGCTCACCAGACAGAGAGAGACAGAGAGACAGAAAGCGAGAAGTCACCCCCCAGGGGGGATGGTCATGCCACAATCCCTACTCCTCCATTCTCCTCTCGGGATCTTGGGCACGCATGCACACGCGCCCGGTGTGAGTTTTAAGCCACCAGGTCCAGGACGCGAACCGCGGTTGACTACGTGGGAGTCCAGTGACATAGCCATTACGCTAACTGCTGGTTCCCTACAAGATTTATCATTTTTTTGAGTACAGCTTCTAATGAGAAGTTTTTGGGTTTTGTTTATTTAGTTTTTCTATAGGGTGCATGTGCTGGAGGGGGGATTCCTCACCCCCCCTCCCCAAGGAGGTGGGCAGCCATGCAGCAATCCTTTCTTCTCTATTATCCTCTTGGGATTTGGGGCACTCGTATGCCTGGCATGTTTTTCAAGGCCCCAGGTTTGGGACTGGAACTGCAGTCAGCCATGTGGGATCCAGCCGCCTTAACCGCCACGTCACTTGCTAGTCTGAGATCTTTTTACACCGTATCTTGAGAAAAGTCTGTAGTCTCTAGGGCGTGCTGTGTCTATAAACATGGTAAGACTGACTTCAGGGGAGAAGTTGCCCTGAGTCACCCACACTGAGACTGTTCAGTGTTGTATGTTTTTAAAAATTCTCACCAGCAAAGTCATGGAAGGACAGACATAAGCACAATATGGCCTCTATCTTCAGAGGAGAAAGTCCCGTATACACCCCCTCTACTGAAGGTAATTTTTAAAAACTATTTATTTATTTAATTCCATTTATTATTATCATTATTATTATTATTATTTTAATTTGACCAGAGAGAGAGAGAGGGAAAGGGAGAAAGCAAGCCACCAGGTCCAGGATTTGAACTGCAGTTGGCCATGTGGGAATCCAGCACCCTAACCACCATGCCACCTGATGGGCCCAAGGTAATTGGTTTTCATCAATACAATATCTCATCTGTATTTCTGTTATCAAACATGAATCATGAACTGGGTCCATGCCAGGTTCTGCTTCGATGCTGGCGATGTGGGAGAGCAGAAACTCAGTTCCTCAGGGAGCTCGCTCTGCAATGACATGGGTGGAGAAGAAGACGGTAAGAGTAACACTGTCTAAGTGCTCGCCCATGCCCGCCACTTGTAGGAGCATTTGTAATCTTAGCCACAGTCCTTTGAGATTAATAGTGGGATCCCCATTTTAGTTTTTATTTGTATTTTTTCTTCTTATTTTTACTTTTGTGTGTGTGTGTGTGTGTGTGGCAGATCACGTGCGCTCACCAGAAAGGAGAGAGAGAGACTCAGAGAGAGGGAAATGGAAATTTACCCCTGAGAGGGGATGGCCATACTGCAGTCCCTTCTCCTCCAGTCTCCTCTTAGGTTTGGGCACTCATGCACGCACGCCTGGTGCGATTTTCAAGCTGCCAAGTCCAAGACTCAAACCATGGTTAGCCAAGTGGGAGTTCAGCACCTTAATCACTATGCCACCCACTAGCCCTTATTTTTATTTCTTTTTTTAGTTTTTTTTTTTTTTTTTTCCATAGGGTGTATGTGCTGGCCAGAGAGAGACAAACAGAGATAGTGAGAGGAAAAATGAGAAATCACCTTCCAGGGGGCATGGCCACACCATAGTCCCTTCCCCATACTCCTGGGATGTGGGACACAAACACACACACACACACACACACACACACACACACACACGTGCCCAACATGATTTTTAAGCCACTGGGTCTAGGACTCAAACTGTAGTCAGCCATGTACTTCAACCATCACACCACCTGCTGCCCCCAACCCCCACCACCATTTTAAAGATGAGGAATCAGGTTCCAGGAGGTGACCTCTACGACACACAGTTGCTGAGTGACAGAGCTAGAACGTAAATCCAGACCTGTCTTGGCGTCATTGCACCTGCTCTGGACCATAAACGGCAGAATGCCATGAACACCATAGAAGGGGAAACTACTTTTGCTGTGGAGAGCTAGAGAAGACTTCAGCTCGTTGACCAATTTTGGATAGATCATGAAGCATGGGACTTTGCCAGATGGAAAGGGATGGGCTCAAGAGGTTCTGGTCACATGCTCCCATGTAGCAGTGCTATCTAAGTGCTTTCCCAACCCCCTTCTTTGGGAGATGGAACCTCTCTTTTCGATGGGAACCCCATATTTGTGTGACTCAGGTGAGTCCAAATGGCCTTACTGTGCTGTGCTGTGCTGTGCATAGGGACCAGTTCTCACATGCTGATCACAGTTCAAATCCCAGTATAGAGACTTGAAAATACTCAGGGGCTGGGACCGGCAGTTAGCATAATGGCTATGTTGCTGGACTCCCACATAATTGACCGCAGTTCGAGTCCTGGACCCGGTGGCTTAAACTCACGCTGGGTGCATGTGCGTGCGTGCCCAAGATCCCGAGAGGAGAACGGAGGAGAAGGGATTGTGGCATGGCCATCCCCCCTGAGGGGTGATTTCTCGCTTTCTGTCTCTCTGTCTTTCTCTGTCTGGCGAGCGCACGAGCCCTATAGCAAAAATCTCTCAAAAAAAAAAAAAAAAGAAAGAAAAGAAAAGAAAAAGAAAATACTCCAAGGCCAGCAGATGGCATGGTGGTTAAGAGACTGGACTCCCACATGGTCAACCATAGTTTAAGACCTGGACCCAGAAAAAAAAAATAAAAGACCTGGACCAGGCAGCTTAAAGTCATGCCAGGTGTGTGTGTGTGTGTGTGTGTGTGTGTGTGTTTGCCCAAAATCCTGAGAAGAAAATGGAGGAGAAGAAATTGTGCTGTGGCCATTCCTCCAGGGGTTGATTTCTTTCTTTCTTTTTTTTTTTTTTTTGGTAAGTGCACTCACCTTATGGCAAAAAATAAAAGAAAGAAAAAAAAAAAGGAACACTCCAGGCATGTGTGCAAGTGTGCCCAGGATCCTTACAAGATGGAGAAATGGGGGCCAGCAGGTGGTGTAGTGGCTGAGGCATATGACCAATCGTGGTTCGAGTCCTGGCTTGAAACTCACACTCGTTGTGTGTGCACATGTTCCCAAAATCCCAAGAGGAGAAGGGATTGCCTCATGGCCATGCCCCCTGGGAAGGTGATTTCTTGTTTTCTGTCTCTTTTTGTCTCTCTAGCGGGTATGCTCACCCTATAGTAAAAATCTTTAAAAAATAAATAAAATGGAGAAATAGGGGAAAAAATACGACAGTGTGACCATGTCCTTTTGGGCGATGCTTTTTCTCTTTCTCCTTTTCTTTTGCAAGTTTATGTGCCCTCTGGCAATTAAAAAAATTTTTTTAAAAACATAATAAGAGTTTTCTGAATGAACAAGGTAAGGGAAGGTATTCCAGGAATTCTGGTCATGGGCAAAGGCACAGAGGGAAAACAGACCCTGAGTTTTGGGGAATGACTTGAAGTAGTTTATACGGGGTGAAGGAAGAAGAGGTGATCTGGTTAGACAAGGCTAGGACGGGCACCAGTTCCTGGCAGGACAGGGCTTGGATGGCATTCTAAGGAGTTTAGAGTTTGCTCCCTAGATACAAGGAAGCAGAGTCTGACTCAGGCTGGCTTTGCTCACAGGTGTATTGTGCATAGGTTGAAGCAGAGGTTCTGCCTAAAGGAAGTTCCAGTTTTATTGCGGTAGCCAAGAAAAGACTATGAGGCTCGAACTTGAGCAGTGATAGTGCAGTTAGAATGAAGGAATGAACACAAGGCAAAGTCAGGATTTAAAAAGCAGAACTTGGTGGCAGAGTAAAATACAGAGAAAAAGGGGAAGGAGCAGGCTCCCTAGGGCTCCTGTGTTTCCGGCTTGGTTAGCTGGGTCTTTGCAAAGATGTTTATTCAGGGTCTTTGCCCATTTTTGAATCGAGCTCCATTTTCTTTCTCTTTTTAGTTTTCCAGAGGTCACATGCATTCACCAGAGGCAGAGGGAGAAAGAGAACACATTCCCCAGGGGGGTGCAGTCTCTCTGCCGTCCTTTCTCCTCCACTTTGCCATCCCAGTGGGATTTGCAGCATGCACTAATGTGTACCCAGTGTGTTTTTCAAGGACCGGGATTCAAACCGCACAATCAGCCATGTGGGACCTATTTCCCTTAACTACCAGGCCACAGGGCCGGCCCCACTTAAGTTTTGAAAGACAATTTTAATAGGTAATATAGCGTGGTGATTTTTTTTTCCCTTTCAGCACTCGGAAGATAGTTGTCTTTGGCTTTCATTATCATGTTGGGAATTTAACTATC